AGAGCCCAAGAACCAATATGTTTAACAACCATAATCTGTCCAAGGTGATTCTGGCATGGCTGGTCTGCAGACTGCATTTTGTGCAGCATCACCCCTTGCTGGCTCCCTTGTTCCATGTTGATAATTGGATGAGAATAAAGAGATGCTGCAACTAGAGACTAGCTTCAAGGACATATGAAAACAATGTGGTGTAGACCAAAACCAAAATTATTTCAATCAATTTTATTTCATGAGAAAGTCAAGTCTATTTGTGAAGATGCAGATTAGTTCAAAAGAATGACCTTTCTGAATAAAATATAGATATTAGGTTGTTGTAATTTAGGTTTCTAGTTTGCTTCTTTTGTCTAAAGGTGGAGACATAGACTTCTGGTGGGAAGGAAATCTCCTCAGTTAATACTGTGAGTGAGTTGTTCTCCAGCTAAACAAGATTCTATTGTGTTGCGACCTTTAGTTTGCTTCTTGTAAATTGGTTTGTGGAGTTTGTGCTTCTTAAAGTTAGTTAAAAATAAGTTGTGTGATGCTTTTTATGTATATAGTATACAGAATAATGAATATGAATATATAGTTTATGCTTTTGAGCATGAACAAACTGTATTAATGATTGTTAATATTTTATGACTCCATCGTTTTAAGGTGATTATCTGTAATTTGAGCCTAACAACAGACCAATTTATTCTAAATCAATGTTTCAATTATTGACATTTTGGGCCAAATGATTCTTTATTGTTGGGTTTATCCTGTGCATTGTAGGATGATTTTCAAAATCTCTGGTTTCTATGCTCTAGGTGCCAGTAGCATGAACATACCTTCCCTTCCAGTTGTGATTAAAAAAATATATCTCCAGACATTGCCAAATGGCTCCTTGGGGACAATGTTACCGTCCAAAGAACCATTGTGCTATATCATTTTTATCAAAAATTCTAACCTTTATTAATGCTGTTATGTAATAGCCCAGAATAAAAAGATTTTTTAAATATTTTTTAGTTATAGATTGACATGATACCTTTATTTTGTTTATTTATTTTTATGTGGTGCTGAGGATCAAATCCAGTGCCTCATACATGCGAGGCAAGTGCTCTATCACTGAGCCACAACCCCAGCCCCCAAAGGATTTTTTATGTAACTGTCAGAGTCCTTAGTCTGTTCAGAAACATTGGACCAATGTCAATTTCATCTACATGTTTTTAAAAATTGAACCAAATTTGAAATTATCCATTTTTAATTCTTTTTTGCATTTTTTATTTGTTCTTTTTTAGGTATGCATGACAGTATATTTTGACATACATACATGGAGTATGACTTATTTTAATTAGGATCCCATTCTTAAAATAATGTCCTATGATGAGCACTCAGAAGACTGGAAGCAGAAAGCCTTAATGAGTCAACCATTTATGAGATAAACAGTCATCAAAGGAAAACGCTGGTCTAGACTGCACATTTGAGAACTGAGAAAGAGCCAGAAACATTCTAGGCTTTGCTGGTGGGCTTTGGTACTCTTCCTGAGTGTTTGTCACTTTGAGCAACATTGACCTTTGTGTTCATGTCTCTTATGAAGTCTGATGGGTGGACCTGGGTATCATGGCTTAGCTCTTCCCCAGATCATCTTATAGCATTTATTTTCTACCTTGGTAAACTGGCAATTTAGGACTCACCAAAATATCAGTTCATATTTGAATAATCATCATACGTAACCCAATGTCTTTTCTTATCAATGCACCTTTAATTTGTTCTCCCCTTCAATACCTGAAGAATTTTGTTTACAGTCATCTTTTCTCATTTTCAAATATGACCATGTCACTCTCAGTGTTGCTAGGTGACTAGAAAGCACCTATGGAGGAGAACAAAATCTGCTTTATATTGCTTACGAGAAGGTTCTACAGCATCTGGCCCTGACTTCTGCTTGGTTTTACCCCCTGCTCTATCCATCCTTCCAGGCTTGTGATTCTTGAATAAGTCTGTTCCCTCAAACTTGTTTGCTTTTGCACTCATGGTTTTCACTAATGTACAATTTCTACTGGACAAATATTTATTCCCCTTACTTGACTTTCAAGTTTCCATGAAATACTAAATTCTCTACAAAGCTTTTCTTGACTGCCAGACATATAGAAAAGTCTTGTCTCTTAGGCACCCATTGCATTTGGTGCTTAATTCTAATATTACCATTTGTGTATTTTCATAGACTGCTTGTATTCTTCCTACCTGAAGGTTCAAGACAAGGACTATGTTGTCATTTTAATAATTCCAAGCCTACTATAGTGCTTAGAATGTAATAGATGTTCATTAAATATTGATTGAATTAATTCAACAAGAGGGTATATATAGTAAATAAGAACAAAATGTTTCTTCTAGCAATTGATTTATTTCAGTCATAAGTTATACTTCAGAAATTGGAAAACTACAGCTCACCAGCCAAATCCAGCCTAACTTCTGTTTTTATGAATAAAGTTTTATTGAACTCTGCCACACAAATTCATTTATAAATTATCTATGGCTGTTTTTGTACATTAAAGGCAACATTAAATAGTGTTAACAGAGACCCATGCCCCACAAAATGTGAAATGTTTACTATCTGGCCCTTGACAGAAAAAGAATGCCAATATCTGCTATAAATGATTAAGCCCATTGTAGGTCACATGTGTAAATGTTTTTAAAGAACAGGTATGTAATTGTATTTTGACATTTCAAATATAAATAAGCTCCTCTAGGTACTTAAACTTCATTTGTAAAAGTCACAAATGCATCTGGAACTTCATATTTTTTGGGGGAAAAAAGCAATTCTCTGATAATGTGCCTTGTGGTATACTAAGCTTAGAGGGTAGAACTGAGAGTCATACCCAAGATCCTAGACCCCAACTCCTGACTGTTTAAGCTTGTACTTAGTCTAGTTATACCAAAAAAAGAAAAAATCCAAAACACACTGGCCATGGAACACTCCCCTTCAGTTCACTAAGTGCGACCACAGCCTACCCACTTTACCTAGTTTTGCTTATTCACTCATCTCCCTGCACCCTTTCACAAAGCATCTTTCCTGAGCTCCTCCTAGGCACCTCTTAATATTCATCCTATCAAGACTAACAAACCCAGAGCCCTCACTTCTTTAGCCCGTGTTCAAATATTGTCCAGTCTTTCTATCTAAAACCATAAATTTTTTTCCACTACTTCCTTTTCCTTGATTTGATTTTTTCCTCCCTAGCAATTCCTAGCATATTTAATGCACTACAACTTTTACTTACTTTGTTCATTTTCTGCCTCCATTAAATTATAATGTCTCCATTTATTAAATGAAGAATGAAATCCAAGCTAAAGAGGAAAAATAATGAAGAATTAGCATAGTGTCATTCACTCTTTGGAATGAACATTTGAGGGAAAAAGTTGCCACCAGTATGGAACAAAAGTATCTTAAGGGTTGCTAGGTCAGTCTTTCAGTCTCCCTTCTTTTAGATGAGTGACTTCTTCAAGATGGTTAAGTCTTAGAGTATTATGTAAGTGCTCTGCTCATTGCAATGGGTTCTTGACAGTGGCTTTATGAGCCAGCAACTCTCTGTCTCCCTAGAAATTTTCTTGATTGTTGAGGAATAGCTATCTTTTCAAATCTATTGCACTGGCTGGCATCTGTGATTTTCAGGAAGTCCTCTTCAGTAAGGCACACAAGTTTCAGAAGATTGTGAAATATTCTTTCATTGGCCATCAATTTCTCACTGTTGTCACTGAGATGAAGCCCAAAACTCTCAGTGGACAACAGAGGCAAGGATGCATGCATACAAATGCACTCTTGTAACTGTGGGAATATTTACTGTGACTCTTTGATGAAATATTTCAATATCAAATGTTTTTTGAACATGCATAGTTACTTGTTATATCTCTGTACTTCTTGTGATTGAAATAGCTCATGAAAGTGCTGTAACTAGAAACTCAATGGTTACAAATTTTCTATAGAGTTTAATGCCATATATTCTTAACCTTGAGTCCTCATAATTTGGTGAAAATTATTTAATTGCTCCAGATGCAGTTTCATCATCTATATTAATATTGTAATAATATATAGCATATATAATTATAATAATAAAATATATTGTTAATATATAGTATAGAAACATAAGTATATGATATATTATATGCTAAAAGAACAGTCAGCCCTCCGTATCCTTGGGTCCCACATCCTCAAATTCAACCAACTATGGATCAAAATTTTTCTAAAACAAAAAAAGTGATCTGAACATATATAGACTTTTTTCCTTGTCATTATTCTCTATGTTATATAGGATAAAAACTATTTGTAGTGTTTATATTGTATTAGACATTAAAATTACTCAAGAGATGATGTATAGGATAAAGTAGGTAGGTTAGGTTATATGTAAATACTCTCATTTTAAATAAAGGACTTAAGAATCCTCATACCTTGGTATCCCCATGGGATACTGAAACCAATCCAGCATAGATACCAAGACAAAACTGAATTATCATATACTGTATTATATTAGTATATAATATTATATTATTGAATATTATATAAGATAGGGTAAAAAATGTCGACCACCTCATCATCTCATTGGATGTATTAACTAAAAAGCTCCTATACAATTGTTTGCACATGATAGAATCTCAAAATATATTGACCTCCCTCTTCCTGGTGTGCATGACAGCAGTTAGCAGCACAGTTTTTCCTGTTACTGAAATGTGAAAACTAAAAAGTTCCTATGTATTCCTCTAAAAGAGAGGAAGTAAGACCCTCTCACCATCTTTCCACATAGTTTCTTTGGCATATGTCTGTGTCATCAGATGAGAACATGTGACCCAGCAGCTAATTTAGATTTTGATTTTTGCAACTCACTGAGAAAAGCCATGACAAACTCACAGAGGATCTGTTTGGGAAATGGAGAACCAATTGTGGAACACAAAGGTGGAGTTTTCTTGTTTTGATTACTGACAAGGAGAGAGGATGAGATTTGGGAGAAGTAGGTGAATGGTGTGACTCTTGATGTTTTTCCCTTGGCCTACAGGGTGATTTCACCTGGAACAGCATGTCAGGCCGCAGCGTTCGGCTGAGGTCAGTCCCCATCCAGAGTCTTTCGGAGCTGGAACGGGCTCGACTGCAGGAAGTGGCATTTTATCAGTTGCAGCAGGACTGTGACCTGAGCTGTCAGATCACCATTCCCAAAGGTAAGGCCCTGTCTGCCTTTCTGCTGGGGAATGCTACGAGTCAAACATCTGCTCTGCCAAAGCTACAAGCTGCAAACTCTTCTCACACCTCACACTAACACAGGAAGGAAATTGCAGCTTCTTGATCACTGGCTAGCATTCATGTTTATTTTGAAAGACATGTCCAAGTAGGACAATTTGCATGTCAGCTAACACATAGTTGAAAGGGAAGGTCAACTTTGGGCATTACAAAGCAAAGCCATGTATATCTCACCCATCTACATAGTTTCACAACAACCAGTGAGAAAGCACTTCCAGGAAGCTCAGCTTAAAGGGTTGGAAGAAAAGTGGTGCCTGCCTCAACTTGATTTCAAAATAAATAGATGAAAAGAATGCCTTGACACTTGGTTAAACTTATTGTTTGATCTTACACAAACTCAGAATCAGAGATTTCATGGAAATGCACTCCTGTGTAGCCAGTCTAGCACCTGGTGTGCCTAGGTTGGGCTGTACTATGATGACATTGGAGCCTGGGTACACCTGTTTGACTGTTGTTTTGGCATTGGTCCTAATTCCCATAAAGATGAGGAACAGGCACTTGAATTCTTTTAAGCCAAAAAAGTCTGTCTCTGAATGTTTACTATCTACTATAAAAGCACTTTATAATTAGTATGAATATGGAGCAGAAAACTGATTTGAGGCAGAAGGAACAACATTTATTTTATACCAATAGTGTAAATCTGCCTATAAAAACTTATATTGACTAATGTGCATGATACATGACAGCAGAAAGGGGATAACAAGCTTCTAAAAGCTAGAAACTACATGGATATTTATTCATCAAATAATCTATATTAAATGCATAGATATATGTATATGTGTGTATGTATGTGTGTGTATATATATATATATATATATATTCCACACACATAGACACATACATATATGTGTCTATGTGTATATATGTGTATACATACAGACATTCATAGATATGTGATTGACAACCAGGAAAGATTTTGCCCCCATCCCCAGAGAACATCTGCTAATGTCTGCCCACACATTTGGTTGTCACAGCTTGGGGGAAAGGCACTGCTGGCATCTAGTGGGTAGAGTCCAGGGGTGCTACTAAATTCCCTACAATACACAGGACAGGCTCTCTCATTAATAATTATCAGATCCCAAGTACCCAAGCACCAAGGTTGAGCAACTCTATGTTTCATATGCACATATGCTCACATTCCATCACCCACAGTGCTGTCAGTGCTGTGTTCTTGGCTGTTGTGCCTAAAGAAAAGAGTGCTGGCTTAGGAGTCTAAGGATCAGGTTTTGGGAACTTGTTTTCTCTCTCTCTCTCTCTCTCTCTCTCTCTCTCACACACACACACACACACACACACACACACACACACACACACACACACACACAAGCTTGAGAAGTATGTTAGTCAGATTTTTGTTTCTCTGGCCAAAATATCTAACAACAAATTAGAGGAGTAATGATTCTGAGGCTTTAGTCCAAGGCAGACAGTTTTCATTGCTGTGAGCCTGAGGTGAGCTAGAACATTGTGGAAGAAAGGTATGGCAGAGGAACACTGATGTGCTCAGGGAAGCTGGGCACTGGAATTGGGGAGGAGGAAGGATCAGGGAAAACATATAGTCCCCAAGAGCACACCCCCAGTGACCTAATTCCTCCAACCATGCTTTCCTGTCTATAGTTTTCACCGCATTCCAGTAGTCCATTCATATTTTTAATCCGTCAAATGTATTAATCCACTAATGATGTCAGATTCTTCATGATACAATCATTTCCTAAAATCCCCACCTCTGGATATTGCTTTATTGTTTTCAACACCTGAGCTTCTGGGTACATTCTACATCCAATCTACAGCAAACAGTTTGCCTCAGGATTTTTGTGGTCAAAGGACCAAGCTAGGAAGAATATCATGAAAACACTGAGAACCCAGAGCTTGTCATGGGATGGCAAGTCTTAGGGCCACATTTTTTCTTAAGGCTGGAATCTGAGATTCTGTTGAGGGTTGTGATGAAGTTCAGAAAAGACAAGTGGAGGAAGCCTAGGGGGACTGGCAAGATGCACATGTTACTGCGAGGTGCTTTGCTGCTTTTATCACATTCTGTTGCTCCCACAACCACAGCCAGATCCTCCAGAAAGGAAATTCCTACCCTTTTATATCTTTCCACACTAATCTTACATAAAGGCCCTCAGTAGAGATAAGAAGAAAATCACTTGTGCAGTTGTGAAAACCATTTACTAGAGACAGCCAACCCATGTCTCTTCTTTTCTCAAGGATAGACCCACCTGCCTTACCTTGACTTGATTTGCTTGTAGGATAGAGGTGAGATCTGCCCTCCCACTTAGTTCACAAGGTGCTATAAACCCTCTCCCCTACAGTCCTGTCCTGTTTACCTTTCATAAATATAGACTTTTGTTTTTGTTTTTATTTTTTCATATGCTGAGGACTGAACCCAGGGGCAGTTTACCATTGAGCTACATCCCCAGCCCTTTTATTGTTTAGTTTGAGACAAGCTCTTGCTAAGTTGCTGAGGCTGGCTTCAAACTTGTTATCCTCCTGCCTCAGCCTCCCACGTTGCTAGGACTAAAGGCATGTATCACCTGACACAGACATTCTTTTCATTCCTTAAAAAAAAGAAATGTGTCAAGCATGGTGGCACATGCCTGTAATCCCAGAGTCTCAGGAGGCTGCAGCAAGAGGACTGAAAATTTGAGACCAGCCTCAGCAATTTAGCAAAACTCTAAGCAACTTAGTGAAATCCTATCTCAAAATAAAAAATTAAGACTGGGGATGCAGCTTAGTGGTAAAGTGCCCCTGGGTTCAATCCCCAGTATGAAAATAAATAAATAAATAAATAGAAATGTTGACTTTGAAATGTTTTTGAAACCTGTATTGAATGCAAATCAGATAAGCTATCAGGAAATAGATATTTTTGTAGCTATGCTTTTAAATCCAGTTAATTTTATGTTTCTCTTTCTCATTGCTTTTAAAAGAATCCACTAAGTAAATAAACTTTACTAAACAGATAATTTTATAAAAACTTCTCTGCTGGAGGCTGTGTCTCCATTGCTTATTTCTGAGACTATGTGATTCCCGACACCTCCAAGGAAAGATTTACACTATTGAGATGCTCAAAGATATCCCAGGCCTTGGGAAGGGTATTTTGACATTTTCTATCAAAGTAAGATTTAATGATTTACAAATACATTTTCTCAGTTGTGAAGGAAAGAAGGGATTGTGTGTTTGGTAGAAAAACCTAGACACCACCCAAGGGTTTTTGAAGCTATTGTTTGGGGCAGATGTTTTTAGACATGAAATATTTACTAAGATCTTCTGACTATGTGGCCATAGCCAAGTGCTATGATGACATCAACTATGGGCTTGAGTGTGGCCACTTTTGATCCCAAGGCAAACCCCCAAATGGAAGTTATAAATAGTATTAATCACTATGTGAATAATTTTCCCAAAAAATAAACACAGCAGCCAGCCCCTAGAACCTAAAGAAATGACACCACACGTGGTAAGATAGTGGATATAATGAAAATAGAAACGTACTGAAGCTCACATTTCTATTCACTGTCACTTTAGGATAATGGTACAGATGTAGATATGGCTAGCTACTTGGAGAACCCTCTTCTTTTGTGAGATGTTGTGCTTCCAGGGCTCAGATGAATGATATAATAACATAGCCATCAACTCTCAGTATTTAGCTGAGAGAGGGGAGAATTGAAGATTAGGAGGGGGTTGAGAAGTAAATCACCTGGTGATTTACTAAATTGGACTGCGGGGGGGCGGGGGGGCATCCAGAGCACAAGTAGAGAGTTTGACATTGTGTGGTGCTACAATAGGTAGACATTGGTTAGATGGGCACAGATGGAGGTGAATAAAAAGATAATGAGATTCACTGTGGTATATTCATATATGTACACAGAAATCTCACTATAATGTACATGTACAAGAAATTATTTTTTAAAAAACTATGGTAAATGGTAAATCAGTAGAGTAGAAGGAAAGGAATGGGGGTAGGGGAGCAGAGGGGAAGGAGAGGTACTGGGGACTGAATTGGAACAGATTATATTCCATGCTTTTATCATTATATCAAAATGGATTCTACTGTTATATATAACTAAAAATAACCAATATTTTTTTTAAAAAAAAAAAAAGGACTGTGGAAGGATCCCAATGGTAAAGCATCCCTGGGTTAAATCCTGAGAATCTAAATAAATAAATATTATAACAGAAATAAAAAGATGGTAGGAGAGTATGTAGAATTCAATTCCATATTGTTTCTCCACTGCTAGTCAAATAGGAAATAGCTTCATGCATTAGGGTTAAGAATGGGGAAGATGTCCTGGAGGTTTGAGAAAAGAGAAGAGGGGTGGAAGAGATAGGATCTATTGAACAGCAATGTTGCAGAATTGTGGGGCAGACAAAAGGCCCATCTGTCTTATAGCTGGACATCTAAAATGCAAAATAAATACCCTGGCAGCTAAGCACAATTAAAAGAAAACATACCATCCTGTACTTTAAATTCCTTCGTCTTAGTTAATCCAAATCTCCTCTGGTTAGGATTTTCTAATTGAATTTAACAAAGGTAAAGAGGGCCAGATAATTGAGAGAGTATCTGTGATTGGCAAAATAATGACCCCTCAAAGATATTGACATTGTAATTCCTGGAACCTGTAAAGTTACCTCACATGCCAAAAGAAACTTTGCAAATGTGATAAATTAAGGCCCTTGACATAGGAAAATATCCTGGATTTTCTGAGAAGACCCAAAATAGTCATGTGGGTAGTTAAAATGGAGAGACTATACTAACTGTGTTCAGACAATGATGTGATTATGTATTATGATTATGGCCAAAGAGATGCAATATGTTGGCTTTGAAGATGAAGGAAGGGGCCAAAAGCTAAGGAATGAGGGTGGCTTCTAAATGTAGGAAGATCTAGAGCCTCCACAAAGGAAAAGAGTCCTGCTGACACCTTAGTTT